AAAGCGTCCTCCTTTTCGCATTCTCCATTTCAGTTACATTTCTGAAGAATTTGGTCATCAATAAACAAAATTTGGGGGGATGGAGACAGTGGGTAGGACAGTGGGTAGGACGCTTGCCTTGCATGTGGCTGACCCAGGTTCAATCCCTACTACCTCATATGGTCCCTGACATCACCAAGAGCGATCCCTTAGCACAAAGCAAAAGGAAGCCTCAAATGTAATGTTATAAAAGCAGTTTAGAGTTCAAAAGATTTTCTGTTATTGAGGGACCTCCCATCATTCTCAGGGGCCTCAAGGGCCACTCCTGGCCACTCTTGGTCAGCCAGGCCAGCCTTTCAATCAAGGGCCCAGGACTGAAGGCTGTTTGAGTCCTGGGGTGTCGGGGGTCACCCAGACTGCACTTGGGGTTCTGTAGAGCTGAATCAACTGTACTCAGGTCACATGTTACCAAGGGTCAAACTGGGTTTTCCACATGCCGGACACGAGCATGGAGCCCTTTGCTGTTCTCTCTGCCACGGTCAAGGAAGAAAACTGTGAGGTTGTGCCAGGAGGTGCTCAGGGTCCGATTCTTGAGGCTGGGGACTGGACCGGGTCAGCTGTGCACAAGAAGTGCCTAACCTGCTGGTCTCTCTTTCTAGCCCTTAGCTGCTCTTTGATGCTGACTTTACTGTTTTTGCTTTGGTTTGTGATTTTTGCTTTTTGGGTCACAACCAGACATGCATAGGGGTTTCTCCTGGTTCTGCACTCAGGAATTACACCTGGTGGTTCTCAGGGGACCATGTGAGATGCTGGGAATAAAACTCGGGTTGGCTGCATGCAAGGCAAAGGTCCTACCCGCTGTGCTATTGCTCCAGCCCCTGACTTTACTTTTTAAAATTCTTTTATGGGACCTGGAGTAATGGTACTGCGTGGGGTGGGTGCTTGCCTTGGCTACGACAGACCCGGTTTCAATCCCCGGCATCTCACTGGTCCTCTGAGCACTAACATGAGTGATTCCTTTGTGCAGATTTGGAGCAACCCCTGAGTATTGCTGGGTGTGACACCCCCTAAAAAAAGCTTATAGATAGATATTTTAAGGATGAGGCAGGAGCAATATTGTTGTGGGAAGGGCACTTACCTTACACCTGGTCAACCCAGTTTTGATCATCGGCATCCTATACAGTACCCAGAAAACTGCCAGGTGCAATTCCTTAGTGCAAAGCCAGGAAACCTCCCCCCCCCCCAAAAAAAAAACAAATTAAAAAATAGAAAAAAAAAAAAAAGAAAAATATTTTATGGAAATTCCACTGCACTACAGTCTTGTGCCATGTAGTGTAATGTCTTGAAAGTTGTATTGGAATATTGGCATCAGAGTCCTCTGGACCTCCTGAGGAGAATCCACTGATGTCCTGTGTCTCCTCAGCCCAATCTGAAGTTGGCCTGGATGTGACCAACAGTACACAGAGCTCTCCCCTGACACTGGACACCATGGTCGCAGTCACGGTGACCGTCACCCTATTCAAAATGACAATTTTGGGGCTGATGTCCTACCTCGTGTGGAAGAGAAGCCAAGGTAGGTGATGCCAGGCCCTGCCTCCTCCCTGGCCTTCTACTGGGTGACTCCAGCTCCTGTGCCATGAAGACAGTCAGAGGCGGGGCTGGGCTGGTGGGTCCCTGTGAAGCAGTCAGCCAGGTGTAATCCCATAAACACAAGGTCTGTTGAACTCTGAGCACTATGGGCACACACACACACACACACACACACACACACACGAACATAAAGATACACACACAAAGATGCACACAGAGATACATAGACATACACAGACACACAGAGATACACAGACACACACACACAGAGACACAGAGACAGACAGAGACAGACACAGACACAGACACAGACACACACACACACACACACACACGACAGACACACACACAGCCTGGAGATGGATGCGGGAGAGGCTGCATGCCCTGTGGTGTGGTTTGGGGGAAGCCCCTTCAGTTCTCCAGGGGGACAGCATCGCAGCTCTGGCAGTGTGGGGGTTCAGAGGCTGCTGAGGAACTTCTGAGCTCCGTTACCCCCATACGGGTTCAGGTTTCCTGCACGGGTGGGCATCCACTGAGATGGGCCCCCAAGGCTGTGGGGGAGGGGTCCCCCTGAAGGCAGTGGGGGAAGGGGAGCCCCAGGAGGCTATGGGGGAGGGGAGCCCTGATATTCTGGGGGAGGGGACTCCAGGAGGCTGTGGGGAGAGGGGAGTGGGAACCACAGCAGCCTCCTGGGAAGGGCTCTGAGAGGTTCCTCATAGGAAGGTGTGGGCGCTGGGCAGGGGCTGGGCAGGGTCCAACTGTGGGTGTCCAGGCAGAGAGAGCAGCGGGCAGGTCACTCCACAGGTATGGTCAGGGCAGGAGAGCCACAGCTCCAGACAAAGGTAGGTGGCCCCTCTCACCCCTGCCCCCAAGAGGGGGGGAAAAGATACAGGGGTTCAGGCTGCAGAGTGGGCTCCTGACGGGCTGCGAGGACAAGAGCAGGGTGGGGGTGGGGGGAGCCTCGGGCCCTCCCAGTGGGCTCATGGCGCTAATTTGCAGCTAGTCTTGGGGGGGGGGGTCTCTGGTGGGTCAGAGTAGAGACATGGGTTTGGGCAGGGGACAGGGGCCACCAAGACACACTGCCTGTGGCCAGAAGAGGGGACAGCTGCCTTGCCTGACCCTTTCTCTCCTGCTCCCGGGGCTGACACCTCCCCCACCCTCCATTGCTCTCTCCAGCTCCAGCAGCAGCCCCTCCCTGCCTGTCCCAGATCCTCCCAACAGGCGCCCTGAACTGAGGGGCTCCCCAACCCTGCCATCCCCGTCCCTGGCCCTGGCATGGAAGGACCCAGCCAGGGCTCCAGTGGCTTTTCTGCCCCCCCCCCCCCCCCCCCCCCCGGGCCTCACAGGAAACGCCGCACAGTCCACTGGGGCCCTGCAGCCTGGCCTGAGCTGATAGAGCCTCGGTCCTGGCAACTTCCTCCAAGACTAGTGCAAGGCCAGGGAATAAGTGTCAATCGCAGGCTGGCCCCAGGCCACCCTCAACAGCACTCCCCCCCCCCCCCCACGGTCTCCTGAGATCTGGGCTGTGCTCCCCGAGGCCCGGGATGGAAGAACTGGGGTTCTTCCAGAGCTCCTCCAAGCTGCATGGCCAGTGAGCCGTCAGCTCAGTGCTCCGTGCCCTTTGCCCTCTGCAGGATCCTGAGATGGAGCCAGGCACTCTGCTGGACACAGCTGCCCTGACCACTGCCTGGTGCCCAGCATCCCACAGGAAGGCTGAGTGTATGTCTCCAGAGAACACAGCGGGAGGACACTGCGGGAATGAGCAGCTCAAAAGAGAAAGGCAGAGACCCGGGCCCAGCACCCAGGCCATCCTGCCCACTTCTCCTTCCGGCCCCCACGTACCATGACTCTCTACCGCGGCCTGGGCAGAGGCTACAGGAAACACTCCGGGCTCCCCTTGGTCTCTGGTCCATCCTATTCCAGTCGGGTGTGACCCAGAGACAAAGAAGGGGAGACACAGGGATGGGTTCAGACCCCAAAGATATACCAACATCAGGTACCCGCTTCCTCATATATGTGTCCTGGCGCTACCTCTCCCGCACTCCCTCTTCATCCTAAGAAATGTTCTCACACTCTGTCTGGGATGCTGAACTAGGTCATTTGGGAGGGCTGGGGGGGGGGGGGGGGAACCAAGGACTGCCTGATAATGCCTCTGGGGTTTATCCGCCGGAGGATTCCTCTCTCCCTTGGAGGAGAGTCAAGCCAGGCCCTGGAACGCCACTTCAAGGTCTCAGAGCCCCTGGAGGAGGAGGAGGAAGAGGAGCAACAGGAGGAGCTCACTGACCAGGTCTCCAGAAGAGAACTATCACAGAGTCCAGTGCAGACAACCTCAAGTCAGACCCTCTGCTCTGCTCACAACCTTAAACTTCTAACTTACTTTCTCAGCCAGCAGATATAAGCCCCAGCCCCAACCTATGGTTAATATGGGGGGGGGGGGGGGGGTGTTGTTATAGGAGACCACATTTTCTTAGTTGGCTCGTCCTGAAGAAACCTCTTTCACCTCAGCCCTGAGTAACTGGCCTGAGTGGCAGGTACCCAAACGTGGGTTCTGTGACTTTGTGTCATCAGCCTATTCACAGGCCAAAGGCTTATGTCTCAGAAATAACCCAGAACCTTCCTGTGCCCTTCTGGGGCCTGGCGTAGCGGCAGGGCCTTCCGGCTCTCCTGGCAGGTCAAGTCCGCCTGTCTCGGGCTCCATAGCAGCTGCTCCTGGGGCTGGAATCACCTCTCCCCAGTTGTGTAGGTCTCCTTCCACTCAGTTCTCATCAAGCTTCCGCTCCTGGGATGTTCTCCCAGAGCGCTCTAAAGGAAGATACCTCCCCCCCCCCCCCCCACGGCCCCCTTCTGTCCCCTTCCCGCTGGATCATTCTCTCTCCTCAGTCAGCACAGGTACTTCCTCTCTGATCACTCGGTAGTCACCTCAAGGAGAGATGGCCGTTTGTCTGTCGCTCACTGTCCTTACCCTCCTGAGCCAGCAGTGGCTGGAACGTTTCAGGTGTGAAAGGCTCTTCAGGATCGAGAGAATGATGAAGGAATGGAGGAAGAAGGCTGATGATGGTGTCGTGTATGTGTGTGTGTGTGTAGGGGGTACACCTGGCATGGCTCACGGATCACGCCTGGCCAACCTCAGGGGACCATATCGAATGCCAGGGATTGCACCTGGCCGTCTGCATGCAAGGCAAATGCCCTCTCAGCTGTACCATGGCTTGAGGTTGGGTGTCCTACAGCGGGCACCTTCATTCTGCAGCCTGCACCCTAAGAGAACCAGCTGGCCAAAGTATCAAGGGGCCGTTCTTGCGCACCACTTTTGCAAGATTTGCCCGTTCATGCCCAGCCGTAGGCTGGAGGTGACTGTTGATGGTTTCCAGTTTTTATTTTAGACCACACCCCCATTTTACTAATGAGGTCCCAGTGGAAGGTACACGGTCCAGTCAGTCCTTGGTCTCAGCTTGGTGACGACAGCGGAAAAGGGGGTCGGTCCTCGAAGGAGACATTGAAGCCCGCAGCCGACTCCCACTGGCTGCTCAGCCTCTGCACCTCCGGGTCCTTAATTCCTGAAGCAGAAGCAGGGTCCCCGGCTTCCTCAGTGCCCAGCGGCGGCGTCCATGTCTCGGGTCTCCGGGCCGCAGGGCCGCGGGCCTCCCCTGATCACCCTGAAAGGCGCCCCGTGGCCGGGAACCACCAAGTCGGCGGCGGCCAGGACCCTCCTGCGGCTCCGCTCCTGCGCCACCGGGTCTTCGCTCAGCGCCTGCCACGACTCCTCGTCCCCGTGGCGCTCGAACACGTCGCCGGCCACCACCACGGTGCCCAGGGCCGTGCCCTCCACCACCACGCTCACGTCCCGCTGGCCGCCGTGGCCCGGCGTGGCCCACACCTCGAGCCCGGGCCCGAGCCGCAGGGGCCGCTCCTCGCTCAGCGCGTGCGGGAGGTAGAGGCCCCCGGGGAGGCACAAGTCGTGCGACACCAGCAGCAGCGCGCCGGGGAACAGCCCCAGGTTCCCGACGTGGTCCGAGTGCCCGTGCGTGCCCACCACCAGCCCCACGTCGCCCGGGCCCACGCCCTGCCCCGCCAGGGCCGCCAGCAGCGCCTCGCCAGCCCACGGGCCCCCCGTGTCCACGAGGATGGGGCCGCTGGCCGCCTCCCGCAGCGCTGCCTCGGTCTCCACGCTCTCGGGCCGGGCAGATCGCGGGCGGGCGGCCGGGGCCCAGGCTCGGGGCAGGACGAGGGTCACCGAGCCGTCCGCCCGCACCGCCCCGCCTGCCCCCTCGGGCTCCGCGTAGCCCCGCAGCAGAACCACCACTGAGTAGGGGCCGCCTGGCACCCGCAGCGGGGTCTCCCCGGGTAGCGGCTCGGTCCGCATCGGACTGCCCATGGCTGGGGAAGGCTGCGCTGCGGAAAGAACACGGGTTGCAGCCCCGCCCCACACTGTCCGCCGCCCTCTCCCGTGCACTCAGAATGGTATCGCCCGCCCTTCCCAAGATGTCGGCGCCCTCTTTCCCGTGCACGTGATCCGCCCGTTCCTCCGCCTCGCTCGGGTCGCGTGCTAAGCCCTCACCTCAGCCTCCAAAAGGGGACCTTGTTCTTTTCCTCACTCTGCCTACGACTTGTTAGATCACTTCTCACAGATCTGATCCCCGCTCTGGAGGACGGAAAAAGTGCGAGGAATTTTGTCCTCGCCGAGGTCCCGTAGGCGGCGGTTGGTGGCCTAAGCAAGCCTCTCACTTGAAATTTCACTTCCGCCACACTTTGGGCGTGTGCAGAAGAAAGGCTGCCCTCCCCTGGCCTAACCTTTAATGATTGTCTCAGCTTGAGAACACTGGCTGCCTCCTTAGGCTGCAGGTTTGCTTCCAGTTTTTTTTTTTGTTTTGTTTTTGCGTAACACCCTGCGGTGCTCAGGTCTGACTCCTGGTTCTGCGCTAGGAAATCACTCCTGGGTGGCTCAGGGGACCATATTGGTTGCTGGGGATCGAACCTGGGTAGGCTGTGTGTAAGGCTAGCAAGCGCCCGATCAGCCTGAGTTCCTTTCGCTTCTAACAGAACCACGGCCTGTTCTTTTCCATTTTCCAACGGTCACCTCTGTGAGTGCGGCAGTTTGGAACTCTGGGCCCAGCTGATATTTGCAAAAGTTTACTAGGGACATAGAAAATTTGGCATCTGTCAAAGTACATGATGGCCCCTTCAGTGAAACAGATATAAAGTAGCTCAAGTATCTCCCCCACCTCAATTTCCAACGTGACCCTGTGCCCACCCATCCTGCCCCACATTTTGCTGGCACTGCAGCTCCCGGTGGGTGTGTTGCTCTTGACACTGTTTCATCTGGCTTCTTTGTTTCAGGGTCTATAAACAGACCCGCAAGTGGGCGGAGTGACTGTCCCAAGACACCAGTGCCCATGCCATCATGCACCTCTGGGTGGGGTGGCAGGAAGGAGATGGACAGGCAAAGCTATTACCATGCACACCTGATAATTAAGGAATGAGCTAACAGGCTGGAGGCGCATCTGCTGCTCCAGCCTCTCTCCCCGAGGCCTGCCACCCTGCACCACCAGGACCCAGCCCAGACTACATGAGGGAGAAGAGCTATGAGCACTGGGCCAGGGTCACTCACACAAGCCCCTGTACACTGCAGAGGCCGTGGCAGAAGGAGAGCTGAGACTTCAGAGGCTTCTTCTCCATAACCTTTGCCTCTTCTGGTGGCTCAAAAGCAAGGATCAGAGGTCTTCTGGGTCATGCTTGGAGTGGCCTGGCTTGTTGGTCATCTTGTCCTCTCCCTCCTTGTCCTTCTTATCATCATCATCATCATCATCATCATCTTGCTCCTCCTCTTCTGTCTGCACTTGCTCATCTGAAATCTTCTCCTTCCCCGTCCAGCTTTCTTGCAGACACCCTAGGTTGGGTGACGGAAAACTGATGAGGGGCCAGAGTCACAGTACAGCGGATAGGGCTCTTGTCTTGCACGTGGCCAACCCAGATTCAATGCCCCACATATGGTTCCCCTGAGCCCTGGCAGGAGTGCTTCCTGAGTACAGAGCCTGAGTAAGCCCTGAGTATTGCCGGGTGTGGCCCTCAAATAAACACACACACACATACACACAAAACCCAGCTGATTATTCACCAGGGACAGGGAACTTATAGGTTGGCAGGGAAGGGACCAACACACGTACTTACCGGTGTCAGCTGCTGGGAGCACGTGGCGCTCACAGAGAAACTGCTGCAGGGGCTGTTCCTGATGGTGGAAGTACCAGTCTCCCACGACGTCCTCATATTCCTCCAGCATGGTCTCACACTGGTGAGAGACAAGGGCAGGTGGGCCTCCGCCCTGCCGAGCTCTGGCCATCCTCCCTGCCTCCCCTACCCCACCTGACTGGCCCAGAAGGGCAAGTAAACCAGGAGGTTAGAGTGATAGAGACGGGTGATCCTTGTTCACTGGACAATTAAGGGGTGAGTTAACAGGCTGGAGATGCGTCTGCTTGGGCAGGGCATGAACTATCTACTCTGTCAAGAAGGTGATTCAATGTGGAGTCTCAAGAACCTGGTTAGAAAACGGGAAGCAGCACGTGGCCCCCAACCTGGTATAGAGCTGCGCTCAGGTGGCGGCTCTGGGCAGCCTACCTCCCTGTGGGCATCCTCGCTGTGCTCCCTGTCCACCGCCGAGTTCTCCATCCTCCTCTCCCTGCTGGGAGCTGAACTCCCCCCAGAGGCTCTCGTTTCCCCGAGAGTCCCTTCCCACCTCCCTGGCCAATGCAGTGGCCTACCTGCTTCTTGAGAAAGGTGACCTCCACGCTGGGCTCGTCCCACAGCTCCAGAGGGATCCCCAGATCCACCTTCACCCCTTTCTGCACCAGGCCCTTCAGTGTGGTCATGGTCTGGCTCTGTCCCTGGGGATGAATTTAGGAACCGCTCACGCCAGCCCCGCTGCCTCTTCCTTCCCCCTCACAACATGACAGCCTGGTACACTGGCAACATCCATGGGGGGGGGGGGGGGGGGAGGGATGGGGATTGGGAGGGCCATGCCGGGTTACAGCTGGTCACGGCTGGGAAGACTCTGACCTTGGCATATCTGAGTGAGCCCTTGCGCTCGGCGTGGACACTGTAATCCAGGATCTTCTCGCACAGATTCTCCAGGGCCTCCTCCAGCCTTGTCTCGCTGTGGGAAGAAGGAAACAGGCTCCGGAGATGCTGCTGGAGCAGCCAGGGCGCTGTCGGGGGCGGTGGAGGAGCACAACGACTCACGAAACACTGTATGGGATGTGTCTCTTCCTCTTGCCTGTGTCTAGGACCTGGCCCAGCTCCAGCACCTCTCGGGATCGGCCGGTACGACTCAGCTCTTCCTGCAGCTCCAGGCTCAGCAGCTTACACACTAGAGTCGGTGGGACGAGAGACACACACGCACCACTGGTCATTCTGTGAATGAGCCTCATGCCGACCAGGGCGTCTGCGGAGCCAGACTGACGGGTCTGGAGTCCGGACTCAGCCGTGTCAGAGCCGTCCCTGCCCAGTGCATCTCTCCTTGAGAGGATGTGCCAGTCCCCTAGTAGTGCAGTGAGGATCAGGCAGCCCGTGGAGGGGCCAAAGAGATGGCACAGTGGGTAAGGCGCTCGTTCGCCTGACATTCGGCTGACCCAGGTTCAATCCCCAGGTGCTCCATGTGCTTCTCTGAGTACCACCAGAGAGTGATCCCTGAGCACAGAGCCAGGAGTAAAGCCCTGAGCACAGTTGGGTGTAGCCCAACCCCCCTAAAAATAAAGAACCCTAAACCCGTTGGATATGTCAGGCACAGAGTGAACACTGAAAAAGCATTTACTGCTGTTCCAGTTATTTATTGGGCCCCTTCTGTATGCACCATGATACAGAGCAGTAAGATGTGACTCTTTAGGGGTGGGAGACAGAGTATAGCAGGTAGGGCATTTGCTCTGCGTGCCGCCAACCCAGGTTTGATCCCCTGGTATCCGATACAGTCCCCCGAGCACTGCCAGGTGTCATTCCTGAGTGCAGGGCTTGGAGTAACCCCTGAGCATTTCAGGGTGTGGCCCAAACAAATAAAAAAGAATTGATTCTTTATCCATATGACAACTACCCGTGACAATCTGGTTTGATGCGTTCCCACTGAAGGGTTAAGGCTGAGACGATACCGTTAGGAACTCCATATTCACTCCACGTTCTTTAGAGGTTCATTTGCAGTGCTGGGGACCAAACCCAGGGCCTTACACAGGCAAGGCAGGTGCTCAACCACTGGGCCACATCCCCCCGCCCCCACTCAGGGGTCACTGACTTCCTGCCAAGCAGCAAGTAAGGCAGGTGCCTGGTCCCACCATGGCTTCTTCCCATGGTGGGTCCCAAGGTAGAAGCAGCGAATACACAAAGCACGGGGACAAGGAACACACTTGTTTGAAATGTGCCAGGCCATACCCCAGAGAACTCAGGAGACGCAGGTGTGCTCCTTCCCGCGGAGGGCAGAACGGGATAGAGAGTGGGGACAGAAAAGGGGGCAGCCAAGGGAGGTGACATCCCAACAGGGTCTGGAAGAAGCAAATACAAAAGGGAGACAGTCACTTGGGGCAAAAGTGGAAAATAGAAGCGAGAGGAGAATCCAGTGTAGTGGGGGGAGGGGGGGAGACTGGACGGGAGGATAGGGCCCCAAATATAGGCTGTCTTTGGATCACAGCGGGAGAGCCTGGAGCAAAGACAGGTCTCATTTAGGATTTAGAAAAAGCGACAGACTGCAGGGAAGGAGCCACACCATCAGAGGCAGGTCCTGAGCGCCAATGACAACCAAAACCTGGAGTTTTCAGGACAGAAACTAAGGAAGCCAACGAACCAACCAGGGGCCCTGGAACAAGCTGGCTCAGCATGGGATGCCCCCTGCCAGCTGGGCCCCCAAGCAGCAAAGATGCTTCTCATTGCAAAAATCCACATTGGACACACCCTCTGCAAACCCACCTAAGGATGGGGGACCCGCTCCCCTGGCTCCTTCCCTTTACGAGCTTCCAGGGCTGCCTGACTCACCCCCAAAGCCCTTTGGGAGAACGTGGGACCTGTCATTTGGGAGCGTCTCTGCTTGGGTGGGGCTGAGGACATCCACAAGGGCCGGGTGTCACACCCCCGCTCCTGCAGACTCCTGGAGTCTGGAGACTTGGGGGCAACAGGCACCGGAGATGCGGGCCGTCCCGGGAGCAGCGAGTCTCGAAACTACAATTGCCACCAAGCACCGGGGGCGCAAACCAGCGAGGAGAAGCGGGCGCGCTCTCCTGGGATTATCTCCTGGGAATTGGAACGCCCCGCTGGGGGTGCGGGGTCGGGGCGTCGCGTCGTGCTTGCCCTCCTTTCACCCCGTTCGAGCTGTCGAATCCTGCCAAGCGCCGCCAGAACCTCCCTCGGGTGTTTAAAGAGTTCCACGTTCACTTCCCACTGGTTCCAGCCCAGAAGTGGGCGGTGGGGGATGCGAGCGGGATGCGAGCGCGGAGCAGCTTCTTAGATACCTTCGCACTTGCTGGGCAAGCGTTCCGTGTCCTCGTCCTCCTCCTTCGGCGCCCCAGCCCAAGCACCACAGACACCTAAAATGAAAAGCAACCTCCCCAGCCGCACAGGACCCATGGCAAACGGCCGTCCGCCGACTTCCAGCCCGAGCTTCCAACTTCGGGAAGACGGCGGGCCCTTTAAATGCCGAGGCGGCGACGGCCAGTTTCCCCTCCCGCCCGGCCCCGAAGGCGCACGCGCAGCGCCGGCCCTCCCCCACCCCCCCCCGCCCGGAGGGCGGGGCCTGCTCGCCTCCCCGCCTGGATTTTGTGGCGCCTTCGGCAGGTCCTGGCCGCTGAATAGAGAAGGCATAAATGGAAGCGATTCGAACAAGAGCGCGTGCTCCTCATACGTAGACACCAAAACGCCTCTTTTTGTGTCAGTGCAGGCGTCGGGCCCGGGTGGGGGGGCCTGGTTCCCGCTCGGGGTGAGGCGGCGAGCGGCCCGCGGTCCCTGCCAGGACCTGTGCGGAGGGGGCGGGGCCAACATGGCGCCGAGCGCCGGCTGAGCGGCGCTTTGGCGGCGGTGAGACTTTTTCTGCTCGGGGCACCCGGCTGCTGGGGCGGGTCTGAGGGGTGCCCGGGACAAGAGGCCCGGAAGGGCCCGTGTGGGAACCGGGCAGAGGACGGTCGGTGGTGTGTCCGCGCGCGTGGGGGGCCCCGGGGTGCGCGTGCTCGCTCCGGAGGGATGTTCGCAGGGGCGCGGGGCTCTCTGGCGCCTTCTTTCCCGCCGCCCCTCCGGCCGGGCGACCCCCGGCCCTCTCCCCGGCTCGGGCAGCCCCGGATCTAGCGCCTGTCCCCCCTCTGCGCGGGGAAGACTTGCTGCCGACGCCGCTGGCCTGAGGGGCGTCCGGGGGCCGCGGCGTGTGTCCGGAGCCTTGACCGCGGAGGGTTTTGAAGGGTCGGTAGGAGTTCTTCAGGGACTGGAACGCCACCTCTGCGCGTCGCACCCGGCGCCCGGCACCGAGTCCCCGTGGAGTCAACGTGTCCCCCCCTCAGATAAGGCGTCCCAGCGCGGGGGTGGACGGACCCCTGCGATGGTCTGAGAAGAACCACGTTGTCCGAGGGGCCGCCCGCCGCCGCCCGATCCGTGGGTCCCGCCGTCACTCGGACACACGGAACATTCAGCTTCCCGGACGAGCATCCAGCGAGGACACCACCGCTTCTGGCCATTCCCAAGTTGGGGGCGCCGTGTGGAATCCCCGTGGACAGAGAGACGGCGGCGGCGACTTGTCAGGCCCCTCGCCGCCAAGCCCTGTTAACGCGCCCGTTTATTCCCACACACACGTTTGTCCCCACGGGATCCGCCCCGTCTGGGTCCTGGAAAGCACGGGGTGAACAGATCTGATTGCAGGAGATAACCAATCGATTCGTTATTAGGTACTATGGGTGGGGGACGCAGACGCAGGGAGGGGTGCAGTGTCGAGAGAGAGCAGGGGGTTGGCGTCGGGTAATAGAGGCCAAGTGGGCATCTGGGAACGACGGTTCAGGCACAGGGGACCATAGAAACCATAAAAGCAAGAGTGCGGCAGGTGCGAACAGCAGGGAGGAGAAGGCAGCGAAGAAGGAAGGAAAGGGGTGAACGATGAATTGGTCTGTGGAGAAACTTGGTTTTCCCCTGGGCCAAGGCAGGGTGCTGAGCTGAGCAGAGACACAGGCTCAGCCTAATTCTGCTTTGAGAATCATTCACACAAGGTGCTATGTTGTGGCCAGGGGCCAGGAGCCAGGGCAGCCAGGCAGGGACCAGGGGACTTGGATAAGCTACCTGCTTCTACGCAGCATGGGTGCAGGATACCTGGCAGGTGTCGTCGGTGCTGGGAAGAGGAGCAGAGCCAAGGCCGGAGCAAGGAGCTGGGGAAGCCTGAAGTCGGATGTTTGTGGAGATATGGAGTTGACAACTTTGCATCCAAGGAGTTACAGAGCTGAATTTGGCCCTCCTTCGGCCTTAGCAGAGATGGAAAGTTGTGGGTGGCTAAGGTCGCCAAGAGAAGAAGTATAGATGGCCGCTAACAGCCAGCACGCATTAGGGTGCAAGATGAGCCAGGACTGGAGAGACCGTGGCCAAAGAAGAGGAAACCCAAGAGGGAAGGGCGGGCAGTGGAATGAAGAGAACCCAGGAGCAAGTGCATGGTTAGCTGTCCTGTATCTCGCTAAAACATCAAGTAAGTTGAGAGCAGAGAATGGACCTCGGATTCAGCAACGTGGAGAGCCCTTCACCAGCCAGTGGCTGCAGGCCCTGAGTGGAGTCAGCTCGGAAGAGAATGCCAAGTGTTCAGACAACTTGGATTCTTAACGCAAAGAGGCAGATAGCTTGTAAAGCAAGTGGAATGAGAAAAACTTTATATATACACACACACTTTTTTAATTGTGGTGACATAGATGTGACATCAAACCATCCTCAGTGGTTTCGGAGTAAGTTCCTTCACTTAGGGGCAATCATCAGCACCCTCCGTCTCCAGAACATGTATCACAGGGCTGAAATTCCTGCCTTTACGCTGTGACTCGTCCCAACCCCTGCAGCCACCAATGGACTCCCTGACTATGGGTCCAAGTGACAGAATCATTCCGCGTCCTCTTGTGACAAGCATACTTCCTATGGCCCAGTGGTGTCAAAGTCCTACACGTTGACCCTCTCAGTTCCTCCCCCAAGCTGAACACTTGTATGTCTGCACCCTCAGTATTTCAGGACTGGAGAAACAGTTGCCTTTTGTGCACTGACTGGGGCGATTGGTTGATGGAGGTTGGGAGATGGGAGAAGCTGGAGTTGCTGAAGGCAGTGACCGGAAATCGAAACATGGGACTGGGGGACGTGGCAGCTGCTGTTGGGTGTTGGGACAGCACTCTCCTGAGGGCCCAGAGGAAGGAAGGACAGATGGGCATTGCCCACGTGCTGAGCTAAGTGTAGCCCCTGAGCACTGTTAGTGTTGCTCACAAACCTCTTTTTAAATAATGAGAATTGGGCAGGCTGGGAGTTTTGTTTCTGTTCCCTGAGCTCAGTTGGACTGGGGAGCGTAAGTTCAGAGTAGGAGTATTTTTTCGGTTGGTTGGTTGGTTGGTTATTAGCACCTGGCAGTGCTCAGGGTTTAATTCCTAATTCTGAGCTCAGGGATCACTCCTGGTGGGCTCAGGGACCCACATTGGGTGCTGGGGATTGAGCCTAGGTTGACTGTTTCCCAGGCAAACTACCTGCTGTACTGTGGCTCCGACCCTGGGTGGGAGTGTTTAGCTTTCTCATTTTGTCAAGAAGGGGCAAGAGAGACAAAGGTGTGTACACACGACCTAGAAGGGCCTTTTCCATGGGGCTGGAAGGATAGCACAGTGGGTAGGGCGTTTACCTTGCATGCGGCCAACCTGGGTTTGATTCCCAGCATCCCATATGGTCCCCAGATCACCGCCAGGAGTAATTCCTGAGTGCAGAGCCAGGAATAACCCCTGAGCATCGCCAGGTGTGACCCAAAAAGCAAAAGACAAAAAACAGCCAAAAAAAGAAGGGCCTTTTAAATGTTTACAAAGAACCCCAAGGGCAGGATTTCACTCAAGTGACAGGCTACGACCACTGGCCCTGGTCCACCTCACCCCACAGGACAATCCAGGCTCCCTGCAGTGGACAGTGACCATCTGGCCCCAGGGATAAGTGACAGCATCTGTTTGGGCCCCCCATTTTCCCAGCTCACGTTCCTGTCTGTTCTCTTCCAACCCACCCCCCATCCCCCACCCTGCAGGCTCGCCCATCTCCTCACCCCCCCCCCCCACAGCACCCTGCAGGGAGGGCAGGAGCAGCTGCAGGATGGCCGAGGAGAAGAAGCTGAAACTCAGCAACACGGTGCTGCCGTCCGAGTCGATGAAGGTGGTGGCTGAGTCCATGGGCATTGCCCAGATCCAGGAGGACACGTGCCAGCTGCTGACGGACGAGGTCAGCTACCGCATCAAGGAGATTGCCCAGGTGAGCTGCCCCACAGCCTAGCCCCGGGGCGGCCAGTGGCATTACTACTGGGGTGCCTCCAGGTGCGGGTAACGCTGCCCTCCCAACCACCCCCGCTCCCAGGACGCCTTGAAGTTCATGCACATGGGGAAGCGGCAGAAGTTGAGCACCAGCGACATCGACTACGCCTTAAAGCTGAAGAATGTCGAGGTGTGGGGGATGTGGGGTGCCAAGCTGCTGGAGGGGCCCCTTCCAGGGGACCCTTTAAGTTGAGCTGTCTTCCCCCCACCCCCTCGCCCCGCAGCCGCTGTATGGCTTCCATGCCCAGGAGTTCATTCCCTTCCGCTTTGCCTCCGGTGGGGGCCGGGAACTCTACTTCTACGAGGAGAAAGAAGTGGATCTGAGTGACATCATCAACACGCCTCTACCCCGGGTGCCCCTGGACGTCTGTCTCAAAGGTGTGGAGGACACAGGGGAGGCACGTTGCTGGGGAGGACCCCCACTGTCTGCCCCCTGGTGGGTGCCAGGGACTGGAACCAATTGGGGCCAGGCCTCAGTCTCACACTGCTCCTCCTGCAGCTCACTGGCTGAGCATCGAAGGCTGCCAACCTGCCATCCCCGAGAACCCACCTCCAGGTAGGCTGTGCCCCAGCCCACCCCACCCACTGGCTCCCCCTCAGCCGGCCTTGCTGGGGCCAGCTGCACCCCTCACCCTTTTTCTTCTCTCCTACTGCCAGCTCCCAAGGAGCAGCAAAAGGCTGAGGCCACAGAACCCCTCAAGTCGGCCAAGCCGGGCCAGGAGGAAGACGGGACCCTGAAAGGCAAAGGCCAGGGGGCCGCCCCAGCCGACAGCAAAGGTCAGTCTGGCCACGCTCACGCCCGGCGCTCATTTGAGAAGTGGAACTCCAGGAAGCGCATCTCCCGGGTGAGGACAGTGAGTGGTGTCAGGCCTCTTCTGGAGCTGTCTTCCTCCCACAGGGAAGGAGAAGAAGGCGCCGCCCCTGTTGGAGGGCGCCCCTCTGCGCCTCAAGCCCCGCAGCATCCACGAGTTGTCCGTGGAGCAGCAGCTGTACTACAAGGAGATCACTGAGGCCTGTGTGGGGTCATGTGAGGCCAAGCGAGCGGTGAGGCCCGTTCTCGAGTTCCCCCGCGTCCCTCCCAGGGCACCTGCCCACCTCACCCGCTGCCCCTCCCACAGGAAGCTCTGCAGAGCATCGCCACCGACCCCGGGCTCTACCAGATGCTCCCACGATTCAGCACCTTTATCTCCGAGGGGGTGAGACAGGCGGCTCAGGGGGCTGTGGAGGGGGTCAGGGAAGCCCCTCCCCACTGGAGGGGGGCGTCTCACGGCTCTGCGCCTTGGCCCCGCAGGTCCGCGTAAACGTGGTGCAGAACAACCTGGCGTTGCTCATCTACTTGATGCGCATGGTCAAGGCGCTGATGGACAACCCCACGCTGTATCTGGAAAAATACGTGCGTGCTCTGCCCGTCATCCTGCCCTGCCACCCGGCCCGGCCTCAGGGCACTGGCGAGCCCACCAGCTCTTGTCTCCCACAGGTGCACGAGCTCATCCCGGCTGTGATGACATGCATCGTGAGTAGACAGCTGTGCCTGCGGCCCGACGTGGACAACCACTGGGCGCTGCGTGACTTTGCCGCCCGCCTCGTGGCCCAGATCTGCAAGCACTTCAGCACCACCACCAACAACATCCAGTCGCGCATCACCAAGACCTTCACCAAGGTGGCCGGGACGGGGGCTCGGCATGGAGGGTGACCCGGCCCTTCGCCCGCGGCTCCCCTCACCGGCCTTTCCTTTCTTACCCTCGCAGAGCTGGGTAGACGAGAAGACCCCGTGGACCACGCGTTACGGCTCCATCGCAGGCCTGGCCGAGCTGGGACATGACGTTAGACCCCCAGCCAGCAGGGGGAGGGCAGCCCCCCGGGCGGCAGAGCCCGTAGTGACCCGGGGCCCGGCTTCTCCTTCCTCCCGCAGGTAATCAAGACCCTCATCCTGCCGCGGCTGCAGCAGGAGGGGGAGCGGATCCGTGCGGTGCTCGACGGCCCGGTGCTCAGCAACATCGACCGCATCGGCGCCGACCACGTGCAGAGCCTCCTCCTGGTGACCGGAGCCCCGCACCCCCCCCACGCACCCCCAAACACACACTCACACAGCAGAATGAGCATGGGGCATGTTTATTCCATCCCTGCCTCCTGCGCTCACACGGAGAACTGAGGCCCAGAGGGGTGACTAAGATGTAAGGTGTCCCCTAGCCCATGGCTTTGGAGGCCACTGTCCCCTGCCCCTCGCTCTGGGACACCCCAAGCTGGGCCAGTGGCCTTAGATGCTGCAGCCTTCCAGCACGTCCCCATCCTGCAGCATTTCCATTTGTTTGGCTGCTTTTGGGGTCACACCCGGTGGTACTCGGGTCCCCCCAGGGGACGACCTGTGGTATCAGGGCTGGAAACCAGTGCAGGCCAGCGCCTTCCCTACTGCTGTGGCTCCGGCCCTGGCATTCCTCACACAGGGGCAGGGGTTCACCCGGCAGGAGGAGCCGCCCTCCGCAGGCACCCCAGCAGGGGTTTCACCCTTGTCGCCTCTTCTTCCCTGTCGCGCTTCTGAGCTGCTGCTCTCCTTCACCCGCTTCTCCACAGAAACACTGTGCCCCGGTGTTGGCAAAACTGCGGCCGCCGCCTGACAATCAGGACACCTACCGCGCCGAATTTGGGTCCCTCGGGCCCCTCCTCTGCTCGCACGTGGTCAAGGCCCGGGCCCAGGCGGCGCTGCAGGCACAGCAGGTCAACAGGACCACACTGACCATCACACAGGTCAGCGGCGGGGCCAGGCAGCCGGCGAGGGTCACAGGGCACTGACTGTCCCCAAGATGCTGACCTCTGCTCTCCTGCCTGCAGCCACGGCCCACGCTCACCCTCTCTCAGGCCCCCCAGACTGGCCCTCGCACCCCCGGTTTGCTCAAGGTCCCCGGCTCCATCGCGCTGCCCATGCAGACGCTGGTGTCGGCCCGAGCTGCCGCCCCGCCGCAGCCATCCCCGCCTCCCACCAAGTTCATCGTCATGTCCTCGTCCTCCAGTGCCTCGTCCACCCAGCAGGTCTGTGAGGCCCCGGCTCGAAGCCGGGGGGCCCCATTAGCTCAGAGCGGGGCAGGGGGGCAGTGGGCAGGCAGCCCCCCACGTTCCTCACGGATGGGTGCAGGAGGGCCATGCAGTCGGCTCAGCCTGGCCTGCCCCCAGGTCCTGTCCCTCAGCACCTCGGCCCCCGGCTCTGGCTCCACCACCACATCCCCCGTCACCACCACAGTCCCCAGTGTGCAGCCCATCGTGAAACTGGTCTCCACCGCCACCTCGGCGCCCCCCAGCACCGCCCCCTCTGGGCCCGGCAACGTCCAGAAGTACATCGTGGTCTCGCTCCCCACAACTGGCGAGGGCAAAGGGCCCACCTCGCACCCGTCTCCCGCCCCTGCCTCAGCCCTGTCCCCGCTGGGGGGCAGCGCCCTCTGCGGGGGGAAGCAGGAGGCGGGGGAGAGCCCCCCGCCAGCGCCTGGGACTCCAAAGGCCAACGGCTCACCCCCACCCGCACCTTGACCCCGCGCCCCGTGGGAGCGAAGGCGCCGCTGCTTCCCTGCGTTACTTTTTAGACACTGTACAGCCAATTCCGCGGAATAAAAGTTCCATTTGTATGTCGTGGGTCACCCCATCTTTCCTCCGATGCCACGGGAGCGGGGGAGCCCGGCTCCTTCCAGCCAGACCAGGTGCCGTCGTCAGATGCGGATAACATAGGCGTCGCTGTGGCTCAGGTGCCGCACCCACTTGTGTGGGCCGGCCTGGCCACATGGGCGCGAGGCCAGCCTGAGGAAGCGCACCTGCAGGCCGGAGCACGTGTGTCTCGGGAGCTCAAAGGACAGGCTGGCCGGGCCCAGCCCCAGAGGGGGCGCCGAGGTGGAGGTGCCAGCGCCTGGAGGCCCGGGCAGAGCCGGCACATCCATCTGAGGAGCAAATGGACAGGGAGAACTGCTGTGGCAGCGGTGGCAAGAGGAAGGTGGGGCAGGGGCTGGGCGACGCGTGACAGTCCCTTACCTGGAAAAGGCCGGAGAGCTGAGAGCCTCCTTGCACACGAGGCAGGTCCCAGTGCAGTGCGCCCTCCCCCAGCTCCGCTCTCTGCTCCGGGCTGCTCAGCTCCTGGGACAGGCTGGGGGTTGGGGGGTGGGGGGGATGCTGAGTTCAGGCCACCCCAGCCCCACTGCCCTCCCAGGGTCAGCTGGGCTCACCCGCACTGACCTGACAACCCCACGCGGCACAGGAAGGTGCAGCCTGACGTTGAGAGCCTGGCTGCAGAGGAAGGAAGGGAGTCAGTCCTCCCCAAAGCCCTGTGCCTGGCCTGGTTAAGCTCCCGCGATCCTCCCTCTTACCTCTTGGCAGGCAGGTCGCAGCGTAACTTCAGATACACCTGGAGCCTGGGAGTAGCGGATAACGCGCACTCAGCCTCAGCCTCCCCAGTTGGGGACGGCCAATGCCATTAGCCCAGCCCAGCGTGTGGGGAGCAGGGATTCTCATCTGGATGCTCTTCCCTCTGCCCACCACCCTGAGCCAGGGGAGCGTGTGGGTCTGGCCGGGGCTCACCTGCCCGAGCCTCGGTCCCATTGCACGGACGGGAAAAGACGGAAGGGGAGTGGGGACGGGAGGTCATCTGAGAGCTGGTACCGCATCACTGTCAGCTGCGACCAAAAGGCAATGGGGGACGCTGTGGCTTCCCACCCCACAGCCCCCTTCCCACAACGAACAGGACCCTCTGGCGCGCTCCTGACCTCGCCCTGTGGGGGCTGCAGGCGGAGAATCCGATGAGACTCAAACTCCTCGAGGTGCACGGAACTATGGAATGACACCTCATCCACTCGGATCCCTGGGCCGTAGCCTAGGGACCAGAAGGGAGAGCTGGGTCCCTGGGGTGTGGGCTGACAGGGGGCTGGCCCTGGGGAGGACACCCCCACTTCCGCTCACCTCTCAGCTCTGACTTTCCCACGCAGAATTCTTCTGTCAAGCCGATGCGCATCTCTGTGGGAGGAGAGGAGTTGAGGGACAGGCCTGTGCCACATCGCACCCTGCCAGCCCTGTCCCCTGCAGCTGCTCACCAGAGCCACCAGGAAGGAAGCTCTTGAGTCGGATCTCCCCCTGCACATCCACCTTCAGAAGTGACCCCTGAGAGAGATGGGGAGGGGGGAAGTCAGGCCCACCATGAAACTCCCAAGATACTCCCAACGCTTCCCAGCGCCCCCACTCACATTAGACGCTATCAGGACAGACAGCCGCTCCACCACATCCAAGAACACCTCATTCTTTTGGCTCTGAAGAAAAGAGGGGAGAGTGGGAGGCACTAACTGGCTTCTTTGGAAGTGGACGGGCCCAAAAAGGGCAGCACAGCTGAGGCACGAGGGCCCTGGGGTGGGAACTCCGGGGAAGGGAAGGGAGGCCCAGATGGAGAGGAGGTGGAAAGACACCGCAGGAAACAAAAAGAAAAACTCAGAGCATGTCCAACATCACTGTCCTCCCTCACCTGGTCAGTGCGCCCAGACAGGACAGGGCGGCCTGCAGCGCTGCTGGGGGCCACTTTGCTCTGCTGTGTCTCAGCCCCGAACTGGAAGAGCAGTGAGATTCCAGGCTCAGTGCTGCCCTGTTCAGCCTGGCCCAGCCCCGAGCCTCCCAGCCGAGCCCCGCTCTGTGCTGACCAGGCCCACGCTGCTGAGGTCGAATAGGCTGAAGGGCTTGCTGACCACGGCCTCCGCCTGGATGAAGTTTCTCAGCATCTCCGTGGATGTGGTCTGCACGTAGCCATAGTCCTGCAGGTGAAGGGAAGCGAGGATGAGGGTTCTCAGCCCCTCTCCCCGACAAGGGAGGCCGGTGGGGTGCGGAGCCTGTGTCAGCGGGGGACTTACCAGCACCTCGTCCAGGAGCTCATACACGAGAGCCACATTGCGGGAGATGGTCGCCTCGCCCAGGGAGCCACAGTAGTCGCCCAGCAGCGTGGCCAACCTGAGCGAATAGGACGGAACATGCCTCTTGTGCCCCTGGGACCCCTGCACGCAGGCGCCCTGCCCCCCTCCTCACCGGGAGAGCAGCTCCAGGAGGCTGAAGGGAGAGACGTTTTCTGAGGTTGTGGCCACCAAATAGAGGCCGCTGTGTCGGATGTGAATAAAGTGTCTGTCATCGTGGTGCTGGGCAGAGACGGAAAGCGTTAGTATGAGCTGGAGTGATCAGGGGCCCAAGACACTTTGGCTTCTAAGCCATTTCCTGGGGGCATGCCTGAACTAGTTAGGAAAGCCGTTCAGTGCAAGCTTCCCCGGCGTGCTGGTGGGGAGGGGGGAGTGGGCAGGGGCACCTGGCAGATGGGTTGAGAACCGCACGCAGAAGGGGCTGGGTGGGTATACAGCTGGCGCTCAAGCAATGCACGCTCCTTGAACAAGGTGCGTCGCATGCACGCGGGAGCCCCGGCTCCATCCCCGGCCCTGCAGTTTCCTGCGGGTGTGGCCCACGAAAGAAAACTCCAATAAACAGAGAATTCGGAGGAAAGAACCCAACAGAGAGGGACGCTTTCCGCAAAAAGGCCCCGGGGGGCGGGGGGGCGGGGGGAAGGCGCCACCCCTACCCACAGCGGTTACCATGACAACCGGAGACTCGTCTCCGGGCAGACCCATCAGCTTCCGGTAGAAGAGCTCGGCCACATCCCGACCGCCACTGTCCCCGCGGACTGACCAGGAGGAAGGACAGCTAAGGAGCTGTGGACACAGGCTGGCCCTGGGACAAGGCTCCCACCCCGGCCCGCGGGTCAAGGATACAGTCCTTGTAGATGAGCGGGTCCCCCTTGGAGGACAGAATGAAGAATTGGGAAATCATGGTCGATCCGGAGCCGAGACGCTGAAACCGAGAAAGTAGGACCTGCCCCGCCCTGCGGCCCCGGAACAAAAGGACGCGCGGGGGCTGGCCCTTTAAGAGCGACTCACCTCCGCCCGCGCCAGCTCAGACCGCGGGAAACCCGGCGCCCGCCCCGCCTTTCCCTCCCGACACCCGCGCCACCGGCCTGTCACTCAGCCCTGACTCGCCCGGTGATTGGTCCAGGATGAGCCGAGCGGCCCGTGGGCGGGCGAGCGGGTGTGATTGGCCCATCAGCGACAGCGGCTCCGATTGGTCCACACGCCGCGGTCCCGGTCACGTGAAGGCGACGATTCGCGCCAATTTCGGTTGGGCGCCCGCAGTCCGCCGCGCGGAGCTGCTGCGGTGTCCCAGGAGCGTGAGTTCTCAGTCCACCAGCTGCTGCCGCCCGGTCTCCGGCACCCATGGCACTGAAGGACTACGCGCTCGAGAAAGGTGCGGCTTTGCGTGCCCGCGAGGCGCCGCTTGCGCGGGAGAGATGCTAGCTACCACCTATTGGAGGGTCCGTGGACGGACCTGCGGGCTCGGGGAGCGCGGGACCCGAGCCGGGCGGAGGCCGACGAGACCTAGATAAACGGTGCACCCGGGATGGGGGGGGGCCGACACCGGAGAAGACCTTGGTCGTGTACGGGACAGGAGGGAGGTAGGTGGGCCGACCAATCCGGCTGTTGCTCCCGACGGGCGGGGGCGCGCCTTGGAGACGCCGGAGCCCCGGAGAACGCTAAGGACTTCCCCGCCTCGGTTTGGCCCGCAGTCCGCCCCGCTCGGCGGTCCCGGAGCCGCCGAGCGCCAGCTTCCCCGGAGACGCGCCGCGGCCACGGGGGCGGGCCGTCTCGAGCCGCTGCGCGCCGCGATTGGGTGTTCTCGGCCAACCTCCGAGCGGAAATGGAGGCGGCGGAAGTTGCGCGACGCCGCGGGAGGGAGTGTCGTGTGTAAACAGTGTCCTTCCGCGCGGGGACCTCAGAGTGCTGCCGAGGTTGGGGGCGTGCCTGGAATTTGGGGGTTTCGCGGGAGCCTGCGAGAGGAGGGGACCGGGAGGGATGGGGTGGCCCTGGACGCGCTGGCCAATCGCCGGGCGGGCTCCCGCCTTGGGCGGAGGAATCCCGGACAGTGAGGCGGCAGTGTCTGGGCCCATGTGCTTCTTTGTTTACTAAGAGCGGAAGCAGTGGCGGGAGAGGGGGTGGGGTGATGGACCGGCCAGGTGGCGGGGACCGCCGCGAAGGCAGGGGTTTAGGGAACCGGAGGAAAGGGTGCATCCCACGCTTGGAAGAAAATTGGGGGCCTTTGAATTCTGAGTGTGTTGTCTGGTCGGGAAGGCAATCGAGAAGGGAGACTGGGGGGTTTAATTAAGGCAGAGACCGGGATTTTCCCCGGGGAGGACAGAGCGTTGGGCAAGGCTCCCAGCTACCAGGCTTCCCGAGGTCGGAACTGACTTGGAGAGGGAGTTCGGCCCCGTTTGGGGAGAGGTAAGGTGAGCACGTGCAGTTGGGTCAGATTAGAGTCTTGTATTTTACGTGGAAAGTGGACTTTGGAGGTCTCCATCAGAAGGGTCTGCCGTCCCAGGGGATAGCTGAACCTCAAGATTTTGCATTTCTCTCATAGAAAAGGTGAAGAAGTTCCTGCAAGAGTATTACAAGGATGACGAATTTGGCAGAAAGCAGTTTAAGTATGGGGACCAATTGGTGAGTGAGTGGAGCGGTTGGGAAAAAGAACCCTTTGAGGTGATTTGGTTGGCTTTAATGAACTGGCCTCTTCACCCTAGCACCTGGTGAAGTTGGGTGTGCTTCCCCACTCATCATAATTGGAGTGCGGTTTGGGGTTGGGGGGCTGGGGCCTTGGGTGTTGTGATTTTGTGCTGCTTTCTCTCCAGGACTGGGCTTGCTGGCATGATTCCCCTTATGTGCCTGGCTAACCACGCTGTTACTGTTCCCTTCGCCACTGCAGGTTCAGCTGGCTCATCGGGAGCAAGTGGCGATGTACATCGACCTGGATGACATAGCTGAGGAGGACCCCGAGCTGGTGGACTCTATTTGTGAGAACACCAAGCGCTACTCTCGGCTCTTTGCTGATGTCGTGCAGGAGCTGCTGCCTCAGTACAAGGAGAGGGAGGTGAGTGGTCTCCAGCCAGGCCTAATCCTGTGGTGTTCAGGTGGGGTCAGAACTTCTGCCCGGTACCTTCTGTACCCTTCCTTCCCTGTTCTTCATCGTTCGTGTTGCCTTCTCTCTGGAGGTGGTGAACAAAGATGTCCTGGACGTTTACATCGAGCACCGGCTGATGATGGAGCAGAGGACCCGGGACCCTGGGGCAACCCGAAGCCCGCAGAACCAGTACCCTCCTGAGCTCATGCGCAGATTGTGAGTGCTCTGGGTGGGGGCTGGATTGCGGGTGTGTTCTGTGGTACTTGCTAACGCCTCCTCTCCCTTCAGCGAGCTGTACTTCCAAGGCCCAAGCAGTAGCAAGCCTCGCGTGATCCGGGACGTACGGGCTGACTCTGTGGGGAAATTGGTGACTGTTCGTGGGATCGTCACACGCGTCTCTGAAGTCAAACCCAGAATGGTGGTGGCCACGTATACTTGCGACCAGTGTGGAGCAGAAACCTACCAGCCAGTACGTAGGCCACAGGGAGCAAGGACTGGTCAGCGGAGAGCTGTCTGCTGCTCCAGGGGAAGTGTGCCTCCGCCTTCTCTCCTTTTGTGGCATGGAGTGCCTGCTCCCTTCTTGCTTTCCTTGGGCCCCTGTCACAGAGCCAGCATGGCAGATAGCTCTTAGGATCTGCTAGGAAGGATTGGACAGATTGGCATGCTTTGCACCACTGGCTCTTGGGGCTCATTTTCCTTGGTTGCCTTTTTTTTTTTCTCGCACCCTAGATCCAGTCTCCCACTTTCATGCCCCTGATCATGTGCCCAAGCCAGGAGTGCCAGACCAACCGCTCAGGGGGGCGACTGTATCTGCAGACACGTGGCTCTAAATTCATCAAGTTCCAGGAGATAAAGATGCAAGAACATGTGAGTGTGTATGCACGTACCCTTGAGCTCAAGGTGGCAGCCGTGGGGAATCCACAGGAGTAGAAAAAACAGGCAGGGTTGGAGAAAGGAGATTTGACTAGACTTCCCTGTCTAGGTAGAGAAGAGGAAGAGGAGGACTCGGCTTCCCTATTCTTCCAGGTGGGGGGGGCGGAGGGGACTGAGGAGTAGAGGGGTGCCCGGGGAAGTCAGCCCAGTTCTCATATGCCGAACGACTTGCCCACAGAGTGATCAGGTGCCTGTGGGAAACATCCCGCGCAGCATCACTGTGCTGGCCGAGGGCGAGAACACCAGGATCGCCCACCCAGGGGACCATGTCAGCGTCACTGGCATCTTCTTGCCCATCCTGCGCACTGGGTTCCACCAGGTAGTTCAGGTAAGACGGGGCTTGGGGACCAGAGGGATAGTGCTAGGACTGAGGTGCTTACCTCCTAGGAAGCCAACCTGATGCTGAGCCTCACCAAGAGGTCACTAAATGCAGAGCCAGGAGTAAGGCCTGAGCACTGCTGAGTATCGCTCAGAAACCTAAAAAGGGGGGTGGGAGGAGAGAAATGACCCCAAGGAAACAGGTAGTCACAAACTCAAAAACCATCAGAACTGCAGGGGTGTCTGTGGGGAATTCCTGAGGAGCTGTGGATGGGCAGCTTCGTCCATGTCCTACCATCTGCCCATGCACTCCAGGGGCTGCTCTCGGAAACCTACCTGGAAGCCCATCGCGTGGTGAAGATGAGCAAGAGTGATGATGACGAGGCGGCGGTCACGGAGCTGAGCAGAGAAGAGTTGAGGCAGATCGCAGGTGAGGGACCCAGGCAGGGAAGTAGGGGTGCACTGCCTCCCCTCCCCTCCCCCCCCCCCCAGGAAATACTCCCGACTCTGCTGTCCCACAGAGGAAGACTTTTATGAGAAGCTGGCAGCGTCCATCGCCCCGGAGATCTACGGGCACGAGGATGTGAAGAAGGCTCTGTTGCTCCTGTTAGTGGGGGGTGTGGACCAGTCCCCCCGCGGCATGAAGATCAGGGGTGAGTGTGGCAGCCTTGGCTGCCCAGAAAAACAATTGGCATTGGGGCTCAGTGGGCACCGGGAAGGGGTCAGGACTTGGTCGGTCGCGTACCTGGCTGCGGGACACAGCTTCTCAGGATTCTGCTCTCCATCCGCCAGGCAACATCAATATCTGCCTAATGGGGGACCCCGGGGTGGCCAAGTCCCAGCTCCTGTCCTACATCGATCGCCTGGCCCCACGCAGTGAGTGGCTCTGCAAGGTAGAGGTCGCCTCTTGGGTGCTGGGAGTGGATACTGTGGAACTTGAGCGGTCTCCCCTCTGTTCCTCTCTCGTCCCATCCTGCAGGCCAGTACACAACGGGACGGGGCTCCTCGGGCGTGGGGCTGACGGCCGCGGTGCTCAGGGACTCGGTGACCGGAGAGGTGACCCTGGAGGGGGGCGCCCTGGTACTGGCCGACCAGGGCGTGTGTTGCATTGACGAGTTTGACAAGATGGCCGAGGCCGACCGCACAGCCATCCATGAGGTCATGGAGCAGCAGACCATCTCCATCGCCAAGGCGGGCATTATTACCACCCTCAACGCCCGCTGCTCCATCCTGGCAGCCGCCAACCCGGCCTACGGGCGCTACAACCCTCGCCGCAGCCTGGAGCAGAACATCCAGCTCCCCGCTGCCCTGCTGTCTCGTTTTGACCTGCTCTGGCTCATCCAGGACCGGCCGGACCAAGACAATGACTTGCGGTCCGTGCCCATGGGGTGTGGCGGGATCAGAGCGGCTGGGGCCCTTGCGGTCAAGGCCCTGCTGAGCCTGCCTGGACTCTGCTTGTCCCTGCAGGCTAGCGCAGCACATCACCTACGTGCACCAGCACAATCGGCAGCCCCCCACCCAGTTTGAACCCCTGGACATGAAGCTTATGAGGTAAGGCCAGAGGGGCTTCCATCTCTCGTGGTTCCCTCTCGGCAGCCTCGCGTGGGGTCAGTCTAGGTGCCCCTCGCAGACATGTCTCCTGAGGGAGGCAGGTGGCCCGGACACCGGGTCTCCCACTCCCTACTGCACTGTTTGAGGATGAAGTTTCTCTTCTCACCCTGTCTTGTTTGGGGTCGTGCCAGCACTCTCGGGGGAGCAGGTGTGCCGGGGACTGAGTCTGGCTTGGCCTGTGTGCAAGGCCAGCTCGGGACAGGCCATGTAGTATTTGCGATGAAGCCGTTTCCCTGAGAAGAGGGAAATGTAGTTTGCACTTGGGGAAATCTAAAGGGGTGGCCAGTGCCCCAGAAGGCTGCTCCTGGGCTGTGTCCCCTCCCTGGCCCACGCTGCCTGTTCCCCCCTGTAGGCGGTACATCGCCATGTGCCGGGAGAAGCAGCCCGCAGTGCCCGAATCCCTGGCCGACTACATCACGGCTGCCTATGTGGAGATGCGGCGCGAGGCCTGGGCCAGCAAGGACGCCACCTTCACCTCTGCTCGGACGCTGCTGGCCATCCTGCGGCTGTCCACAGCGCTGGTGAGTGCCAGGCTGGGGGCTGCTGGTGGGCAGTCTGGTGGGATGGGTCCCCCCCTCGGTCTCCAGCCACCACCGCCTCTGGCCCTGCTGGTGCTAAAGTGCTGACAGTGCAGATAGTGTGTCTGGGCTACCGCACTGTGGGTACTTGCTGCTCCGGCAGGGCACGCCCAGCGCCCGCACCAACCCGCCGCTCGCATGTCCCGGGCCTGTGCTAGAAGCATCCCCCTTGGTCCCGCGGGCTCCAAAGTGCTGTTCGTGCAGGTAGTGTGATTGCCTGACCTACTGCTGAGCTAGCACTTCCCGAGCCCCGGGGACACCACCGCGGCCCACCTGGGTGCCCAGAGGACTTGACAAGAGCCCGGTCTCGCCAGGACAGCTGGACACCGGGACTGGCCAGTGTTGAGAGGCGGAGACTTGGGCAATTGCTGGACGCTGCCCTGGGCATTGCACTTGTCTCGGTCTGACAGTGCCGGCCCCACGCTGCGGATGGTGGGGGGTGGGGGCGGGGCCTCCCCTCCTGAGTAGGTGGCCCCAGGCTGCCAACCAGAAAGCTGAATACTGAGCACGATAACCCTGACTCGGCTGCCTTCCCCAGCTCTGTCCCCCTTACCCTCCACCCCCATAGGCACGGCTGCGGATGGTGGACACAGTGGAGAAAGAAGATGTCAACGAGGCCATCAGGCTCATGGAGATGTCCAAGGACTCACTGCTGGCCGACAGGGGCCAGGTGTCCAGGTGAGTGGGCCTGGCAGTCCCCAGACCTGGGGATTCCACCACTGCCCAGGCGTGGTATGCCCTGATGCCACCCCCCTTGCTTTCTCCCTCCAGGACCCAGAGGCCAGCAGACGTGATCTTCGCCACTGTCCGGGAGCTGGTCTCCCAGGGCCCCAGCGTCCGCTTCTCGGAGGCAGAGCAGCGCTGCATCTCGCGGGGCTTCACACCTGCCCAGTTCCAGGCAGCCCTGGATGAGTACGAGGAGTTAAATGTCTGGCAGGTCAACAACGCCCGCACGCGAATCACTTTTGTCTGATCGAATCGCTTTTGTCTGATGGAGATGCTGGAGACACTGGGGAAGGGGATAGGATACCTCCTTTCCCACGAGTTGCACTTCTTATACTTTGCTAATAAAATGTGTGAACTGCACCATGTGGCCTCACTCCAACCCCATTCTCGGACTTCATTACTTAGGCCTCCCTCTGGGGAAGCCCCAGGCTCCCAAGCACCTTCAGGTCAGGTGTGATCTGGAGTCATAAGCACACTGCACATCCAAGCACCGTCCCTCCCTCCCTCAACACTGGAATCTACATGTGCTGAGCAATGGGGAATAGAGACACAGCCCTGTGCAGATGCAGTTTTCAGCAGGCAGTGAATTCACTGTAGGGGCTCTGGTTACAGGAGCTTCCTGGAGATCCAGCTTCTGACTACACAGGACACAGCCACTGGACGGGGTGCTGGGGCTGTTTCCCTTTATTAATACACAGGTTTCTCTAGAGGAAGTTACCCTATCCCTCTGGGCCAGCTGTCCACACCCCAGGCACCATCCTTCAAGTAGCCTCAGAAGAAGAGACCCCGCATCCGTCTGCCAATGCCTTGTCGGTCGTATAGGACGTTGAACTTGTTCACGAACTGGTTCATGGTGTTGCACGTTTTGGTGATGGTGCCAAGGTAGGCCATGAGCCCCACATCGTTGCATTGCTAGTGGGAGAACAGAAAGCAGTTCCCCAGGAGGTCCCCGTCCCTCAACCTAGCCAGGGGACAGATGAGTCCCACCTCCCCACCTTGGGTTTCTACTCACGTCATAAAAATCTGTCTTGAACTTGTCGGTGCTGAGTACCGGGAGGCAGTGGCACAGCGCATAAGCCTCCCGCAGGATCTCATGGTTAAAGGGGACCTCGCCTGGGGTTGGAGAAAGGCTGTGAACGTGGCTGCTGGTCCCCAGGAGGGAAGGGAGCTGATGGGGACAGGTATCCTACCTGCTTCTGAGGCCTTGACGTACTCCAGGATTAGTTTGACACGGCTGTGCAGCATCTTAATGGCACTGTGCTGTGCAATCAGGTGCTCGGCCACTGGGAGGACAAGGGGGCAGGGGCACGCAGTCAACACCACAACTTCTGTCGGGTAGGGGGAGTGGTTTGGGCCACACCCAGCTATGCTTGGTTACCCCTGGCTCGGAGATTAGGAATTACCTAGTTGGTGCTTGGGGGCCCATGTGGGATTCCGGGGATCGAACCCCAGCTTGGCTATGTGCAAGGCAAACTCCCAGCCATACTATTGTTCCCTGCCTCCCCCCAACTTTCGAGGCAGCCCCTCTGGCCTCCATTACCCGTGGAATTCTCGCCACTGCCTGTGGCTGTCATCCGTGCCACATGGTCCACCCCAATACGCTCCGCCTCCTCGGTGGCCAGAGTGTAGGTCAACTCTGCAAACAGCATGGTGGCCTAAGGGGTATACGGGGGCGTGAAAAGCAGGACCCCCCCCCCCCCTTCCCCACCCCAGCAGGGTGCACGCTGCAGGGCAAGGCATTACCTCTCCATTGATGATGTCAATGACCGACTCGAACACACTCACGGGCAGCTGGAAGGAGAAGGCGCACAGCGGGGCTCAGGATACCTGCCGGCCTGCTCAGGCCTTCCCCAGCCTTTCTCCTCTCCCCAGTGAAACGGAGCAGTGAGTGAGCAGGGGGAAGGGACGGTCCCCACCACAAAGACAACCTAAGAGCCTCAAGACCAGCCAGGACAGAGGCACGGGCTCAGCATCACTCACATCCGTGTGCTTGGTCATGGGGTTCAGCTTGAGGAACAGTGGGCTCTCGATGATCTCACACACCTGGGGAGGCGGGGGCGATGGACGTGAGCATCAGTGCTCACCTGCCCCTTCCCTGGGCCCTTGTTCTCTGCCACCCCGGGCGCTCGGCAGGCAGCATGTACCTGCTTGTGGACGTGGATGTCGGAGGGGTCGGGCGGGCCTCCCGTGGTATACCAGCCCAGAAACTCCAGCTCCTTGAAGACCTGTTTAACTGCCGAGGACGGGGGCCAGAGCACGAAGGATTTCTCTAAACCGCCTTCCCTTCCTCCGGGACTCCGGGCTGCCCCACCGGCTTCTCCCACCCCCTCCCATTCTGGTTCCGCCCCGAAGTAGAACGCAGCCCTTCTAGCTTCTAGCCTCCCTCCTGTATCGGGAGCCCTTTCCCTGCAGTCCCCCGCTCCCCGGCTCCCATGGGCCTCTCACACTGCTCCTCCTTGGTGTAATAATATTCCTTGTCGATGATGATCTTCTCCTCCACGGTGTGGGACAGCAGCTCAAAGGAGTTCATCACCTCGATATTCCGGCCCTCCTGCTTCCCGATCAGCGCCCCGATCACTGCAGGGGAGAGAGGGACCCTCGAGCTCCGCGGGCGCCCCGGGCGGGGGGGTCGGCGGGCGTCCAGCCCCGGGCGGGGGTCGGCGGGGCCGGCGGTGGCCTACCCTGCACGGGCCGGCCCTCCTGCGAGCGCATGCGGATCCAGTGGTCCGAGATGTTGAGGATGACGAGCGGGTGCAGGGCCACCGAGACGCTGCCCGTCACCCCGGAGGCCATCACGCTGGGGACCACTGCGGGGAGGCGACGGGCAGCGGGTGAGGCGGCGCGCGGCGGGGACCGGCGCGCCCGAGCGGCGTCCCCGGCCGCCGCCCCCGCGGGGCCCGTTACCTGCCGCATCCACCTCCATCCCGCTGCTCCCGCCGGTCCCGTTCGCCGCCGCCGCCGCCATTTTCCCCGCGCCCGCCGGCCTCGGCCCCGCCCCCTCGCGCGCTTCCGGCCGCCGCCGCGCATGCTCCGTGCCCCCCCCCCCCCCCCCGCGCGCCTGCGCAGGCGCCTCCGCCCGGGTCGCGGCCGCTCTGGCAGCCGTCAGGCTCGGGGACCCGCGACTCCGACGGCCGGCGCCCTCGGGCTGGAGCGACCACTGGGCCTTGCTCGCCGCAACCTCCGCGGCCTAGCGCTGAAGGGCGGGCGGAGGCCCTGGAGCTGTGACAGGCAAAGGGGAATGGTCTGTGATTGCCCGGAGACGGAATCCAAGCCTCCCCTGGCGCCACAAACGCCCCCTGGACGCCCAGTGGTCAGCCGGCCGCTTTCTGTCGGTTCCCCGTGGTGGCCTCTTGCGCCACCTGACCCGTGGTCACCGAAGTGATTTTGGGGAGCCCGTGTTTGTTCCATCTTGCTCCCTCCCAAACCTTGATGTGTCTTGCACAGCGTTCCAGCATCCCCTCCACCGCCAGCAAGAATTTGCCCACACCTGCCGCTGGCAGCCCGCCCACTCGCCCCGCCAACCCTCCAGTCCTCCGGCTGCAGGGTGGCTGCATCTCGCAGAAGTCTGTGCCCTGTGCAGGCAGACACGTGTCCCGGGGCCCTGCAGCGCCCACTCAGGCGTGCAGAGCTTCAGGCCTGAGTGCATGCTCCGTGCCTGTTGAGAAGTCTACGTGATGGAAGCGATGAGTCAAGAGTGGAGAAAAGAAAGGTCCAGTGAAACGCTGGGGCAGAGACTTCTGCCGGCCTCGGAGAGTCTGAAAGAAGAGCTTAGGGGCCTGGGTAGCTAAGAGAGCTGGAAGGAAAACCAGAATGGGCACGATCTCCTGAGCACCACCAGGAGTGATCCCTGAGCACCTCTGGGTATGGCCCCTGCACCTCCAAATCTAGGCTGTCAAGCCAATTTTGTGATCATAGAAGGAGGGTAATAGCGTAACACCTTGGGCCCTGGAGGGTGGGGGTGCAGCAGCTCCAAAACCAGCCAAAATTCACAAATCTACTGTGCCGTTTCTGGAGGGCAGAAGTCCCAAGTAGTTCATAATGGTCTGAAGCCCAGTACCTGGCATGGCTCTGCTCTCTTGGGGACTCGGCCTCTCCATGTCCTTTCTTGCTTCTAAAGCTGCATCCTGGGGCTGGAGTGATAGCACAGTGGGTAGGGCTTTTGTCTTGCACGCAGCCCGACCCGGGTTTGATTCCCAGCATCCCATACGATCCCCCAAGAATGGCCAGGAGTAATTCCTGAGTGCATGAACCAGGAGTAACCCCTGTGCATCTCTGGGTGTGACCCAAAAAGCAAAAAATATATATATAAAGCTGCATCCTGGGGCCAGAGAGATAGTACACAGAGCAGGGAGGGCACTTGCATGAGACCAACCCAGGTTCCATTCATGGCTTCCCATATATGGTCTCCAGAGCACTGCCAGGGGTGATTCCTGAACACAGCCAGGACAAAGCCCTGAGAATTGCTAGTGTGGCCCCAAACCAAAATAATCACTGTATTACTGACATCCCGCTGATCATCTATTTGCTTGAGCGGACATCAGTAACATCTCCATCCCAGCCCTGAGATTTTAGTGGCCTTTCCTTACTCGTTCTTCCTGACGCTGCCGTATTGGAGCCTCTTTCAGGGTCAGGGGAATAAAATTCATTATTGTTACTGTTTTTGGCATGTCGAATATTTTGGGGTTTTTTGACAGGCCAAAACCGAAATAATAATATAATCACTGTCACTGCCACTGTCCCTCCGTTGTTCATCAATTTGCTCGAGCGGGCCCAGTAATGTCACCATTGTGAGACTTATTGTTACTGTATTTGGCATATCGAACATGTCATGGGTAGCTTGCCAGGCTTTGCCATGTGGGCGAGATACTCTTGGTAGCTTGCTGGGCTCTCCAAGAGGGGTGGAGGAATTGAACCCGGGCCAACCGGTCGGCTGCATGCAAGGCAAACGCCCTACCACTGTGCTATCGCTAATATAATAATAATAATAGTAAAAAAAGGTGCAACCCTTGGCTCATGGTCTAATCATCCTCAAAGTCACTTTTTGTTTGCTTTGTTTTCCTCTGTGGTGAGCCAACCCAAGATCTCACCCCTTCAAGGCAAGTGGGTGTGGGACCGTGACTGTGCTGAGATGGCACTTCAGCAGCAGCCTAAGCTGTCACTCTCTGTGCCCTGTTCTTATCAGCATGCCGCCCTCTCTACCTCGCTGTTTCTTTTTGGTGTGGGTAGAGTAGGAGATAGGGTTTGGGTCACTCCCAGCAGTACTTAGGGGCTATTCCTGGCTCTTTGATTAGGAGGTGCCTGTTGGTGCTTGGGGAAACTCCATGTGGTGCTGGACTTAACAACAGTAGGCTGCCCACAAAATGCAATCTCTCGTTCGCCGTCTGTCTTCCTGTGTCTCAGGACACTTTACATCTAATACCCACTGAAATGATCCAGATAATCTCCATGACAGAAGATTCCTAGTCATAGCTGCAAAATCCCCTTGTAAAAAAGTAAAGCAAGCATAGGGCTTAAGAGACAGCACAGCGGGTAGGGCATTTGCCTTGCACGTGGCCAACCTGGGTTCAATTCCCAGCATCCCATATGGTCCCCTGAGCACCGCCAGGAGTAACTCCTGAGTGCAGAGCCAGGAGTAATCCCTGTGCATCGCCAGGTGTGACCCAAAAAGAAAAAAAAATTAAAGCATAGGGGCTGGAGCAATAGCACAGTGGTTAGGACGCTTGCCTTGCATGCGGCAGACCCAGGTTTGATCCCCAGCATCCCATATGGTCCCCTGAGCACTGCCAGGAGTAATTCCTGAGTGCAGAGCCAGGAGTAACCCGAGCCTCGCTGGATGTAACCCCAAAAAGCAAAAAAAAAATAATAAAGCAAGAATAAAGCATTGGGAGGATCTGAGTTTCTTGGGGGTGGGATGGGGGTGGGGGTGCAACGGCCCTGTGCTTCCTGCCATAGCAAATGTGGGCCACTAGGGGCAGAGGTGAGCACCCATCCTTCTCAGTCATTAACTTCTGGAACGTTAGTCCAACAAGAGCCCTCATGGCCCCTCTTGATTCCAGAATTAAGCTGGAATTCCCTAGACTCCCTTTTGGATGAGCCTTATCAGAGGGTAGCCTGGGGTCACCACTGGAAAGAAGGTAAAAAGAAATGTTGTACCAAGAACTTATAAATCCTGGGGCCGTAGTGATAGTACAGTGTGGAGGGCGTTGGCCTTGCACGGCCAACCTGCGTCTGATCCCCAGTGTCCCGTATGGCACCACCAGGTATGGGCTGAAGACTAACAAAAAATAACTTTCCTTGCATGTAGTTGACCTAGGTTTGATTCCTGGCACCTCATAAGATTTCCCCGAGCCCCACCAGGAATGATCCCTGAACACAGAGCCAGGAGTAAGCCCTGAGCAATGACGGGTGTAGTCCCAGAACCAAAAGAAAAGAAAAGAAAAAGAAAAGAAAAGGGATGGATGATCACTAAACTATCAGAAGGAAATGAGGAAGGGAAAGGGCTTTGGAAGAGGCTGTATCTACACTGGTATGACATGACATCAGATGTTACAGAGACAGGTGGGAGTGTAGAATGTCCATCCAGTCTCTTGACTCTTGGCCACTGTTGGGTGGCCTTGTGCATGAAAATTGACACCAGGTATCAGCCTGTCAAAATTCTGGAACACCTAAAGCATGACGCAGTTACATTTCATGGGTCGTCATTAGGTATTAGCAAAGGGATCCCAAGATAGTGCGAGAGGTTTGATGAGATTTGTTTTTCAGGAGCAGGGGGGAGCTTCTGCTCCAGGAAGGGTGCAGGCTTGATCAGCAGGTTAGTTCCATGAGTCATATCATGGTCTGCAAGAGGACCCAACTGACAGAGCCAACTTGTGATTCCACAGTTTACCACCCTGAAGATGGTACTTGCAGTTTTTCATCATCTCTCATCTGACACATGCTGAACATTGGCTAACAGCCCAAGTCTGAACTGTAATAAAGAAACACAAGGCTCACATGCCATTGGCCAAAAGCCCGACTAACTGTAATAAGGCTCAAGGCCATTGACTAACAGCCCAAGTTAAGACGAGTGAAGTTGGCTGGCTCGGGTGGAGAGAGGGTGTTGGGAAGAAGCAGGGAGGGGAGAGCAAACCCCAGGCTTCTATAAATATTTTTTGGGGGGTTTGGGGTCTCCACTTAGTAGTGCTCAGGGCTTACTCCTGTATCATTCATGGTGGGGCTCAAGGGACTGACCATATGGGGTGCTGGGGATCCAAAGCAGGTTAGCCATATACAAGGCAATTGCCCTACCTGTTATACTATCTCTCCAGACCTCAGGAAAAATCAGGAAAGATTTTTGAAGTTTCTGCAGACCCAGGAGCTGGAGGTTGGTTGTTTAGCCACATGAGATCAGAGTTTTGCAAGAAGCAACTTTCCATCTCCCAAGGATTCATTAACCCCTGACACCAACCGATTGCATCTTTAGTCATGACCTATTTCCCATAATTTTCTTCTAACCCACTTCTTTTTTTCTTTTTGGGTTGCACCTGGAGATGCTCAGGGGTTACTCCTGGCTCTGCACTCAGGAACTACTCCTGGCAGTGCTTGGGGCATCATATGGGATGCAGGGAATCAAACCCAGATCAGCCGTGTGCAAGGCAAATGCCCTACCCACTGTACCATTGTTCCAGCCCCTTCAAACCCACTTTCTAATCCTTTGTATTAGCCCCAATAATAAGATGGTGGGGCAGGGCTGGAGAGGTTACATTTACCTTGCATGCTAATCCGGACACCTAAAGTTTTGTTAGGGCCACACCTGGTGGTGCTCAGGGCTTATTCCTGGCTCTGTGCTCAGAGATCACTCCTGGCAGGCTCAACGAACCATCTCGGGTGCTGGGGATTGAACTTGGGTTGGCCGCAAATGCCTTACCTGCTGTACTATCGCGCTGGCCCATGCATCCAAATTTGAGTTCAGGACACACAGTACATGACACACTTTGTGTGGTACCAGGATCACAGTCAGCGCAGCCACGATCTCACGCACCCT